GATTTTTATTCCCATAAAGTTGATGACTAGATAAATGAAAGTAGAAAAAGACCACCACAAACAATCACCTATGTCTGATCTTATCTTGCCGGAAATAGAAGGAGCAGTGGGAAGTTGGCCCATACCTTAATTCTGACCTCCAAATATCACATAACTGCTTGTTACACTGTAGATCAAATTTTCTCCTAGACTCCTAGCTTCAATGGAGTCTGAGTAATACAGTCTTTCGTTTTCTGAAATCTTTTTTTAAAAAATTACAAGGGAGATTTAGGAGAGGCAATTCATTTTAACATAAATTTAGAATCACTTTCTTAAAATCTCTATTAGAGTTATAAATTGATATGTGGAGAATTACTATCTTAACACTATTGAGGCTTCCAACCCATGAAAATGATATATTAATAACATTTACTTGTCTGTAATTTCTCTCAGCAAAATTTTATACTTTTTTTTAAAAATAGAATTCTTCCCTTTTTAAAAAATTTTACTTTAAGTTCTGGGATACATCTGCAGAACGTGCAGGTTTGTTACATAGGTATACATGTGCCTATGGTGGTTTGCTGCACCCATCAACCCATCCTCTAGGTTTTAAGCCCTGCATATGTTAGGTATTTGTCCGTATGCTCTCCTTCCCCTTGCCCCCCACTCCCTGACAGGCCCTGGTGTGTGGTGTTCCCTTCCCTGTGTTCATGTGTTCTCATTGTTCAACTCCCACTTATGAGAACATGCAGTGTTTCGTTTTATGTCCCTGTGTTAGTTTGCTGAGAATGTTGGCTTCCAGCTTCATCCATGTCCTGCAAAGGACGTGATCTCATTCTTTTTTATGACAAATGGGATCTAATTAAACTAAAGAACTTCTGCATAGGAAAAGAAGTATCTTCCATGTTTTGTAAAATTTATCTCTAACATGTTTTTGGGTGCTGTTGGAAATGGAGTTGTTTTCTAAATTCATTTTGTAATTGTTCATTGCTAATAGACAAAATTATATTTTTTGTACATTAACATTGTATTCTGAGCTCAATAAATCCACTTATTAGTTCTAGTAGACTCTTTAAGCTTTCTATGTATTAATACATGATCATGTCATCTACCAATAAAAACAACTTTACTTCTACAATTCCAATTTATTGACTGTTATTTATTTTTCTTGCCTTACTGCGCCAGCAAAAACTTCCAGTATAACGTTGAATAGAAGTGGCAGAATAGAATATCCCTGCCTTGTTCCTTATCTTTGAGCTTTGAAGCTTTCATTATTGAGTACAGTGAAAGATGTAGGTTTTTGAAGATGCCTTTACTTAGATTAAGAGAAATTTTTCTTTTATTCTTCGTTTGCCGATAGATTTTTTAAAATCACTAATTAGTGTTGAACTTTATAAAAAGCTTTTCCTTCATTTATTGAAATGATTATATGGTTTTTCTTCTTTATTCTAATATGGTGAATTATATTGATTAATACTCTCTCATATTTTGATTCAGATTATGATATTTGGCAACAATACCACAGAAATGACAGAGTTCTTTTGAATAAATTGTCAAACCAACCTTTCACTCCCCAGATAAACCTCATTCCATCATGATGTATAATATTCTTTTACATGTACTAATTTTCCGTGTTAAAATTTTAAGTATATTTTTGTCTATATTCATAAGGGATATTTGTCTGTAGTTTTCTTACATCTTTGGCCTCATGAAATGAATTTGGAAGTATTCTCTATTTTCTCAGAATTTGTGTATAATTAGTTTTATTTCTTCCTCAAATGCTAGAGTTTACAAGTGAAGCCATTTAGGCATGAACTTTTCTTTTTGGAAAGATTTTTAATTAAAAATGCAATTTTTTGAATTAATAGGGCAATTCAAGTTTTGTATTGCATATTGGGTTAGTCTTGGTAATGCGTGTCTTTCAATGAATTGTTCATTTCATTCAGTTTATTGAATTTATTGGCATAAAGTTGCTTGCCATATTCTCATATTTTTCTTTCAATGATTATACTCTGCAGTGAGTGACATATTCTGTTGCATTATTAAAAGTACATGGGTGGCAATTTCTGTCTTATCTCTTTAATATTTATCAATCTAAATGGAAGTTTACCAATTTTATTTTTTTGAAGACCCAGCTTTAGATTTCACTGATTTTCACTATTATTTTTGTTTTCTATTTTAATTTTTACACTTACCTTTATTATTTCATTTCTTAATTTTTAAAATTAATTTTTATTTCCCTTCTTCTACTTGATTTTCATTACCTTTCCACTCTGGAAGAGGTATTTTGTAGGATGATGGTCGAGTTGTCTTTTTTCTGATACTTCCTCATATTTTGATTCAGATTATGATTTTTGGCAACAATACCACAGAAATGACAGAGTTCTTTTCAGTGAATCCTATTAGGAGGAACCAGGTATTATTTGTCCCATTATCAGTGATGTTAATTTTGATCACTTGTCTAAAATAGTGTATGTCAGGTTTTTCTTCTGCCAAGTTATTATTTGCAATTAAGTATTTTGTGGAGAAAAAAAATTGAAGACTATTAATTATTTCTCATCAGACTTTTACTGATTTAGCATTCATTGATTCTTGCCTGAAATAATTATTACTGTGATGGTTGCCAAATGCTGACTTTCTAATTGCATCATTTTTTCTACATGTAGGTAATTGGAATCTTGCTATAAAGAAGATGACTTTCTTGTCTTTATTTATTCAATTATACTAGTATGGACTCAAATTCTTATTTTATTCTGTGTGCTATGATCCATTGTCATCATTATTTATTTATTTGCTGTAATTGTTTCAGATTTGGTCAGTGGGAGCTTGTTCACGTTGGCTTCTGAATCCATTTGACATGTCACTATAATTTTTTCAGCACTTATTTCAGAACGCTTAATTTGTGATACCCACAAGATGTTCCAGGTTCATCTTTTACTTTCCCTATCCTAGCCTGGAGATCAGCCATTTCTCCCAGGAGCCGTATTTTTTTTTTTAACTGGAGAAAGATATTTAGAAATCTGGATCTGAATATCCGAATACAAAAATTAGCCAGGTGGAGTGGTGCGTGCCTGTAATCTCAGCTACTCCAAAGGCTGAGGCAGGAGAATTGCTTGAACTTAGGAGGCAGAGGTTGCAGTGAGCCAAGATCACACCACCACACTCCTGCCTGGGTGACAGAGTAAGACTGTCTCAAAAAAATAGAAATCTGGATCTGGAGTCTCACTGTTTGTAAGCTTTTTCAAGAAGACAGATTATATATGTTTTATATATTATAAATATATGCAATAAATTATATATAACATAACATATATAACAAATACATATAGCATATCTAATATACATAACTTATAATGTACTTATAAGTATATAACATATATTACATATATTTACATAATGTATAACATAGATTATAAAAATGTCTTTTTATAATATATATATTACATTAATATATAATATATAACATTATATATAACATATATACTATATATTAATACAGTGAAATATTTTTTATATAATGTATATATATGTGTATACACCCACACAGTCACAACATACACACACATTTATATATATACACACGTATATACACACACATGCAAATACATATGTATATACACACACAGATGTCGTGATAGCTAATTTTATGTATCAACTTGAATGGGCTAAGTGACAGGCCCATGGCTGGTAGAATATTATTTCTGGGTGTGAAGGTATTTCCAGAAGAGATGAGCACTTAAGTCAGTGGACTGAGTAAAGAAGACCAGCCCTCACAGTGTGGGTGAGCATCGTTCAGTCCATTGAGGGCTCATCTGAATAGAACAGAAAAGTGGAGGAAGGATGGATTCTTACTTTCTCTTCTTGAGCTGGAACATTCATCTTCTACTGCCCTCAGACATCAGAGCTCCTGGTTCTCAATCCTTTGAACTTCAGGACTTGCATCTGCACACCAGCAGCCCCTGGTCCTTGGGCCTTAAGCCCTAGATTGGGAGTTACATCATTGACTCCCCCGGTTCTCAAGACTTCAATCTCAGAATTACACCACCTGCTTTCCTGGGATTCCAGCTTGAAGATGGCGTATTATGGGATTTCTAGGTCTCCATAATTGCATGAGCCAATTCCCGTAAATCTCTTCATATATCTATATATCTCTTATTGGTTCTGTTTCTCTGGAGAACCTAATACAGATATGCACACTCATGTGTGTGTGTATACATGTTTCTCTGTGTATCAGTTATGTTCAAAATCATGAGTTTATACTGATAACTCAAATTACAAATACCACAGTCTCCACGCTAGTGTTCCCTTATTTGCAATTCCCTTCAACAGTGAGAAACCTGACTATTTGCAATATATTTGCTTATCTACCCCATCTAAGAATGCACATAGTGTTGAAATTGCTAACCCATACTACTATGAAGAACAAACCCACTAGACAAAATCCAACATTTGTTCATATTCTTGTCTTTAGCCCTTTGTTTGTATAATCAAAATACTGTGTTCCGAGGTTAATTCAATTCTACCTCACAGCTCCCTCTTAACTGTGGTCAAGTTATTCACTTGAAATACAGTAAGGGGCAGGGTGTGGTGGCTCACGCCTGTAAACCCAACACTTTGGGAGGCCGAACACTTGAGGTCAGGACACTTGAGGTGGAACACCTGAGGTCAGGAATTCGAGACCAGCCTGGCCAACATGGCAAAACCCTGTCTCTACTAAAAATACTAAAATTAGCTGGGCATGGTGGTACACACCTGTAATCCCAGCTACTTGGGAGGCTGAGGCAGGAGAATCACTTGAGCCCGGGAGGTGAGGGCTGCAGTGAACCGAGACGGGGGTTGCACCACTGCACTCCAGCCTGGATGACAGAGTGAGACTCCATCTCAAAAAAAAAAAAAAATATATATATATGTGTAAATATATAAAAAATATATAAATATATATTAAAATATAAATATATGTATACATCAATATATATTATATATATAAAATAAGTTTCATTTGTTGTGTTTGTATTGTGTTGAATTTTTTTCTGTTTTCATTGCTTATATTTACTTGGCTTTTTAATATGTGAGATAAGGATTCTAAAATTTGTGAGACAAAATGAAAATTAGAAGGAATTCCCATCTTCCCCATTGTTTCCACCCATGCCTTGTATGTAACTATCTCATTGGTTCTAGTTTATCCATCCTATGTTTCTTTTTGTACAAACAAGGACATGCATTTTTTTATTTCTTCTTTTTCACATGAGAAGTAGCATACCAAAGTCTTTTGTATTTACTTTTTTCACTTAATAATATTCTAGAAATACTTCATAATAGTTCAGAGATATTCCTTGTTCTTTTTCACAGCTGCATAGTATTCCATTGTTTGGATATAACATAGTTTATTCAGCAAGTCATTTAGATGGTTTCCAATCTTTTGCAATGACAAACCATGTTCTGGTGAATAATCTTGTACCTGTGTATTTTCATATTTTTGGAGGTATAGCCTCAGAGTTCATTTTTAGACATGAGATTGGTGGATCAAAGGGTAAATGTGTATGCATTTGTTTTAGATATTGAAAAATCCCCATATAAAATGGCCGTATCAGTTTGCATTCCCACCAATAATATATAAAAGCATCTGATTTTCCACAGCTACACCAATAGGAAGTGTGGTCATACAAAAACCACACTCTCAACATAACTAGAAGACAAAGCACCACCTTCAAACTGCCCATAAGAAAACAAACAAAACAAAAATGACCTAGGAGTTCTTCACACTGCTCCTAGAAGCCTCTGTGGTGAGCAAGGGTAGTCTGTGGGAAGACTTCATGAAAGAAAAAAGCTGAGCTAGCAGAGTCCTCAAATTGCTCCAAGACCACTGCCAGAAAGTAAGAGTCTGCCGTAAAAATGAAAATGCTGAAAAGGTGTCCTTGTAGACCAGAGCACTAACTACAAGCACACCTTCAGGAAAGGGACATAAACATAATGTGATCTGAGTTGACAGCTTTTGAAAGACGTAGTTTCTAAAAGAGGAAAAGGGCAAAAAGGAAGGGGAGCCATCCTTTGGTGATAGAATGGTAGAAAAAAAATGAAATAAAATAAGAAGTTGTGGAGTGTTTTGATACAAAACAAAAATTAGAAAGAATGCAGCTCTCTCTCCTCTCCACAGCTTCCATTATAGGTCAGCCTTTGAGGTCACAGCAAGGTGGAGTGTGCTACAGAGTGGTTCTGGATGAACAAACAGAAAACATCCATCACAGTAGGAGACTTATAAATAGGAAGAAAGTGGAGAGTTGATTAACATACTGGGGTAACTAAACTAGAACGCTGAATAGATTATAATAAGCAAGAAAATATGCCTCAATTAGTGATTTAAGAAGGTTCCATGGAGATGAGTGACTCAGGTACAGTGAAAGAGGTCATTAGAAATCAAAAGGTCAATAAAACCAGAGGCACGGATGTTATAAGGAGTCATCTTTGTCAATGTGAAATAATTATGGATAATACCAGATTGTAGGATGGTTGGGAGACAGTGAGCCAGGTTCCAAATCCCTCAACAGACAGGGGTGACCAGAAAGTAAAGGGATTGCAATAACAAGGAGTGGAAGAGGATCAAACAGTAGGTTTGAATGTGCAGACAAATCTCTAGTAGGCAAAAATATCTCATTGCACTTTTGTTCCACATAGTACCAGGCATAGAGGTGAAGTTGGTGCACTATTTTATTCATCATTGCTATTTGCAGACCAATCCTCTTTCCTTTCCACAAAACCCTTTCCTTTGAGTTGCATATCATCAGAATATAGCACCTGCTGTCTTGTTGTTTGCAATCATCTTCAGATGTACAAGCCACTCCTCATTTCTTGAAGATTTTAGCCCCTGACTCAGTATGACTTTCTAACATGAATCCTCATGCTTTTTGGTGATTTCAGTATCAATTAAGATGTTCCATGGCCTCCTCTGCACCAATACTTTTGTCCACCATTTTATTTCAACTTCTCACAACCACAGTTCTGTCTAAACTCTTGCATCACCAAAATCTAGAAGGCTTCAGTGTTAGTTTAAATAATGTCGACCACAATAACGTAACACACCAATCCCCAAAATGTTAGAAGTCAAACATGACAGAAGTTTATTTCTTCTTCACGTGAAATCTAAAGTGGGTGTTGCTGATCAGCAGACAGCTCTACTCAAAGCAATGACTCAAGCTCCTTCCTTTCTGTGGTTCTGTCATCTTTAGCATGTGACTTACTAGGTTACTAGAGTCACTTTCATCAACTCAGTGTAGGGAAAGAGGCAAGGAGGATCGCATATGGAATGTTTTAGGGCCAGACCTAGAAATGCTCCACATCTGTGATCATGTTGCTTTGGCCAGAACTCAGTCCTTCTACACTTAACTGCAAGGGTGCCAGGAAATGTGTCTAACTTTGTGCCCAAAATGAAGGGGAAGTGTATTTGTAGACAGCTTTGTCCTCTGGTTGCCAATTCTGTTTTACCCTCAATTGAGGCATTCTTATTTCTCACTACTACATATTACCATTCTAGTTCACCCTAAATAGTACCCCAAGTCTAACAATGACACGACCCCATTAAGGCCTACAAAATATTGATCCTGTTACTCTTTGTTTCTTACCACCCATATGTCTTCACTTCCCTTCTCACACAGCTTAAATTCTATGGTCCATCATTTTAATCACTCCCTTGTGCACATGCTCAACTCACGTCATCAAATTCACCTGGGAACACCCAATCATGATTAAATCCAAGCAACTGGTTTTTTCTGAGACCGTCTCTAGAAAGCTAAATATGACTGCAGAAAAACTCAGAACGAAGCTTGATGATTGCTCTCTAAATTCATGAGCACTCACCTCAACTGGGTCTTTAGCATTGCCTGTTAATTGACTAAATGTCTCTAGTCCTTTCCTTCTCTGCCTGTCTTCAAACATAACACCTCCTCATGTGTCATCATCTTCATGATGACCTTGATGTATATGTCCCTGAGAAAACAGAAGAAATGTGAAATCAATTTCCAAAAGCTGCCACCATGGGCATCTCCAACCCACCTGCAAACAGTTCCTTCCTGGTATCTAAAGAAGCCCTGCATGCTTCCACCGAAGGCAATCTCTCCACCTGTGCACCAAAAAGAGCTAAAACTTACTGAGCACTTCCTACATGACTGGCACCATTTTAAGCTCTATGTGTATTAACTTTATTCTCATTGCAAATCCTATGAGGCTGGTACTGATTTTAGGCCCACTTTACACATAGATAACTAAGGTACACTGACAAGGAACATCCCTTGAGTCCTGCAGCTGATAAATGCCAGGGCTCCGATTTGTCTCCAGAATCCATGCTTTTCACCAAGGAGAATTATAGGGAAAACATTTGACCTTTTAGTAAATCACCCTACAGAGTGAATGGACAGCTACTCTTTTTAAAGAGTTGTGTGTGGGAGTACAGATGGAAGACATGACAGTGAGGAACAAGGAAAACACCTCCACCACCTCTTAACAATGAGTCATATGCATGAAAATAAACCAGCCGCCACTGGAATACGCTGCAAAGGAAGCAGTACCTTCAGGGCATGGGCTGTTTTTAGTTTCAGGAAGGAGGAAGAAAACACTCAGGACGGGTGGGAGGAAAATGAGGCATTTGCACATTGGACATTAACCAAAGCAAACAGGGTTAGGGTGTGACAAGACAAAAACTATTCATGTTCAAGCGTTCCCAGAAAAGTGACAGTGATATTGGGCTAAATATTATAAAACTCAAATTTCTACGGTGAGCAGGTATAACCTGCTGTAACAAATACATCAGTCTCAAGAGGAAAAGCAATACAACCTTTGCAAAGTAAAATCTCATAGGAGACGTTATCCTGAGCAAAAATAAAACCGCTCAACCTCATAACTACAGGATACACAGTAAACAGAAATCCTACAAGAAAATAGCTTTACCCTTAGCCAGCCTATTATTTTCTTCAAGGTAAATGACTGTTAAATAGCATTTCCGCTTTTACCCTTATCCAAAGATAGTAAGTTCTTGCTATTATAAACCTATTTTATGCTCATTGATTCTAATTTGATTGAGCAGAATAAAAAGTCTAGAGCTTATAATTTTCACGTCTACACAGAACACATGACATAGTCTAGCCCTTGCTCTAAGCCTTTCCTACTTCAACCATCCTGCCATTATAATCTCATCTATTACTGCTTTCTCAATCAGCTTCCTGCCTTGAATGTCTCCCTCCCTGCCACTCAGTTACTTAACAAACAGCTTAAGCACCCATCATATTTGGGGCTCTAACACTTATAACTTTATCTTCTTTCTCTCAATAAATATATATTTTGGTCTTCCTGTAGCAAACTATAAGCAACTTGAGGGCAGACACTTGTATTTATCTTGGTAAGCTCACATTTAGCATATGGCAACTTGCACATAGTAGGCACTCAGCTTTTTTTCTGAATAAAAAAAGCACTCAGCTTTTTTTCTGAGCCAGTGTTACTGCTATCCCTGGAAGCACTGGGTTATTACAGAATAGGCAGAGCAGGCCCTCATATTTAACAAATGAATGAATGGATAGGTGGATATGTGCCTACTCTTAGAACTTCTAGGAAAGTTCAAAGAATTTCCTAATATTAGAAACTATTAGGAAATTATTGATAGTACTGCTAGTTGTGATAACTGTGGTTAAGGAGGAAAAAAAAGTTTTATTTTGAGAAATACACATTAAAGTCTTCACAGTGAAATTCCATGAACGTAGGAAATTTAAAGTACTTCAACAACAAAACAGATGAAGCAAAATGACAAAATAAACATTGCCATAATAAATCTAGTTATATTCTATATAACTAGTACATCTTAGTCTAGTCTAATACCTATAATGTAATTGGCAAGATGACAAGAATATGGTAAAAACCTAGAAATTAATCAGATTGTCTTCAGGTAAATCAGGAACAAGTAATATAGGTACTCTAACAGGAAAGGATATGACATGCTTGAGAAAGTACAATGTAATTTTAAAGTAACTGAAAATTATTCGCACTAGGACAACCAAGAGACAGCATTCTGAACTGCTTGTAGGAGGCAGGTAGGGAATTTCTTATTCAGAAATAAAGTAGTCATGTTTAAGAATAAATTTCAAATACTACATGAGACCAAAAAATGGGATCACTCATTTATTTCTATTTAGGGAAAATAAATTTTTCTTCACATATCTTCAGCTTTTCTTGTTTTACATGTAAAATCAGTATGTTCAGTCATAAATAAATATAAATAAATATTACAAAAGAATAAGATTTACAAATTTGACTATGGACATCTCACTTCAGAAATAACATATAATCTTTTCTTATGTGAATACAGTAGTATCTCTGGATACTTTTAAAGACATTAAGTCAAAGAAGACATCTTTCACAGGCTTTTTCCAAACTGTATTTGTGCAACAAAGGAAGACTCAGTCTTTCATTCTATATTCCTCCCTTGTCACCATCAACACCCCTGGCTCACTAGCATGTTTTACCTTTAAAATATTTTGCCAACCTGAAGGAAAAATGAAAATGTCTTACAGTCAAACATTACTTTATAATGTGGTTCATCTCTCTTTAGCAATTTTGCTTAAAAGAGACTGAATTGGGTTTTCATTTGCTTTTGATATCCAAATGTTTTTCATTTTTTATTTCCTTCATAAGTAGAAATAACATTACAGATCTTGTGGGAAAAAAAATCACTTTTCCTCTCTTTTCCTCGTGTTCCCATTCTAAATATGAACAAATCTCTATGCTTTCTTACACTTTTAGGAAAGGAATCACTCTCAATTCTGCAAGTTGTTCTATTTTCAAGAGGTAGAGGTGTGCTGAGAATGTGATTCTGGGACTGCCTTTTTTCTCCTTTGTTGACATTCCTAACACACCCTAAAGACAATGAAAGCATCCTAAATGAAAAGCACAATTGCATTTATTGTATCCAATATGCAGATAAGTCTAAGAGACTAGAAACAGTCTGTATAGTTGTGTGTATTTTCTTCTTAACTCTTCTTTGGCTAAGTCAGCCAGCCCATGGTTACTAGCGTCCCAAGCAAACCTGTCAACGTGAAACACGTGTACCCTGAAAATTCAAAAAAAAAAAAAAAAAAAGTTAAAATCAAAATGATTTTATTTACTAGTGATAAACATTAATTTTTGGTTACTATGTGATAAATCGCCAAAAAGAATCAGTTAATTTGGGGTGCAAAACAAAAAAAATAATGGTAATAGAATATGGACAAGATTCTACAGGTAGGGTTTATCAGCTACAGCAACAACTAAAATATGACATGGAGTTTTTAGTTCTCGAGATGAAGAGTGGCTAAGCTAGAATGAATTAGGGTACCCTCAGATTAAAAGTCAATGAATTCCTAAGTGTGGGAGATGTTAAAAAAAAAATAAAAAAAAATAAAAACCCCTGAATACTACTACATGTGGAAGAGAAGATTAAGAGATGAAGACACTCAGTTTTACAGACACATTTACACAAAGTTATTTTTGTGTGATAATTTTGTATAAAGATATGAGATGTCTTTTAAGATCTATAAACATGACCTATAAAAGGATATCTTAGCACATATTATAATTTTTCTTAAACATTGAAAACTCTAAAAGCCACCAAGCAAAAGGAGAAATACAAGGTAAGTCAACCATCTCATGATGCAAATTATCATAATGAAGGCATTCTCTTTAAGTCCTAATATATCATCCCTTTCCCCCCAAATATTTGTGGCATTATACATCTAATCATTACAATAAACTGACTTCAAAACATAGGATGAGATAATAAGCATACTGCTACCAAGTCCAGAACTGACAACGTGTCACAGTAATGATTCGATGCGCTAGTCATTCATTCAACAAAGGAAAAAACAACTCTAACGCCAGTATTGACTTAAGCCTCTATTATCCTTTAAAAGTCATGAGGAACCCCCTAGACAAGGGTATTAATGGATATTTTACAAGATACAGAAATGTGATGTTATTAAACCATATATACCTTTTATAATTTACCAGAAAGTCTTATTTCTGAGGGACCATCAGTCACACTTAAATGGTCAAACACAACATTGAGTACTTTGTTGCTCTCATGTGCATTGTAAGAGCTGAATAGTAGAGAAGAAAAAAACTATTGAATTGAATTATATAACTGTCATTTCCATCAAAAAACAAAGTCAGGCATCTGCTTACACTTCCATCCCTAAACTAAAATTTATCATATAGACCTAACTCTTCTAAAAGAAATAAGTCAACCCTCTGATAGGCAAACATGAAGAATCATTAAATGAAACCACATTATCACTTGCACATTAACTATATCCTGTCTTAAGATCAAATATTTAATTAAATCAGTATGAAATCAGGAGGCTAGCCAAACATATGTAAAGCTAACTCTTACCCTCAACAGCTTATGCTTCCAAAATAAGGCAAGTGGAATATTTTTTATGTGCACATAAAAAAGACAAATTTTTCTTAGGAGTTTGCAAGAGTTTCCCTCTAATTCAGAAAATAAGCAATTAAGTTCACTGCAAAACCCCAAAATACAATTCAAAACAAATACACTAGTCTCCTTATCTGTGGTTTCAGTTACCCACAGTCAACTGCAATCTGAAAATAGGTGAGTACAATACAATAAGATATTCTGAGAGAGACAGAGAGAGAGAGACCCCATTCACATAACTTTTGCTACAATAAGTTGTTCTAATTGATTATTAGTTAGTGTTAATCTCTTACTGTGCCTCATTTATAAATTAAACTTTATCTCACAGGTATGTACATATGGGAAAAAAACACAGCACATATAGAGTTAGGCACTATCTGTGGTTTCAGGCATTCACTGGGGGGTCTTGAAACACCCTGCCCCCAACCAAGGATAAGCAGAAGTTACTATATTCCTTCCTTCTAAGTTCCTTAATAGGACATACAAGTATCACAGCCAATCACCTTACCAAAGTATGTAAAGAAACTGATGAAAG